CACAAGTGTAGCTACATATTACATTAGATGCAGTGGCAATAAAACTTTGGTATATTCTTCCTTTAACACTAAATGTATTTTTAGCTATTGCCCTCTAACTCAGTTATCAGTCATCACAATCAAATCTCTGATAAAGGGGTTGTACATGTAGCAGCATCTATATCAGTATCACTCTTATACTGAGTATATCATTAAAGTGAAAAAATGAACTATGGACAATGAGACATTGTATTCCTAGATGATTTGAATGACTAGATACTACAATTCGATATTATAGAATGTTGAGCAGCCAATGCATAATTAGTTGGTTATCATTAGTAACTCATGCACCACAGGGGTTAAGGAATTAAATATTCCAAAACATGTTTATGATACAAGTCATACAACCATCTATAAATAGGTGAAGAACATACAAGGAGCATGCATAAACTACCCCACAGCCCATAATGTTTACTATAATATCATCTCTCACACTTATAATGATGTGCTAGTCAGTCAAAACAGACGTTATACAGTATGCCTCTCCTGTCTGTTCTAAATCAGTGCTGTCAACATGTTTATGCAATAACAACTACCCACACTGATAAACAAATACCATCTATAAATAGGCCCACACTGATAAATGGATGCTATCTATAAATAGGTAAATGAATGACATATGTGCATGCACAAACTACAGCAATATCATTTCTCACACTGCAAAGTGTATGAGTGCTTTTGCTAGTCAGTACAGACAGTAGCTATGTCTCTCCTGTTAGTGGTTGTTCTCTTATTCTTCAGTAGCTCCTGCAGTGTCTCCTCTCATCAGTATTATGTGTCTGATGACTGCAGCTTAGTTACTTATACACCTTGTAATCCTTTATCAGTGTATGCTGGGCATATGTCTCAATATCATAACACCATCTTCTACTTCATTGGAAACAGTAGCACCAGAAGTCATAGTATTGAGATTTTTGCTGTAAAGAATGTCACTCTACATGGACTTGATCAGTCGTCTCATTTGTACTGTCACAGCAGTCCAATTTTAATCTATAAAAGCAGTCACATCAATATCTCCAGCTTAAAAATACATTGCTCAGTTCATATTACTTTTTCCGACAATATTACAATAACTAATTCTTTCTTTATTATGAAGGTAATCATCGAATTAACTAATGCTTTTGATGTTAAGGTATTGTCATCAGTTTTCATTGCCTATATTGTCAGGTTTTGGTATAAAGCTGTTCCAGTATACAGTAATGAATTACCACACTACTCATTGATACTGACTAATGTTACCTTTAAGGACACTATACTGGAACTAAACATGGAACACGGTTTCTCTTACAATGCATCAATCACCTTTGATTATGTTGACTACAGCAGTTTTGTAATGAATCAAGGGGCTTTGTTTTTTTCAACTGACAGTCTTTTTTATTTTTTAGTTACCAAATCATTGTTTCATCATGTCAGTTATGCTAATGGATTAGAAGTAAGCATTGCTTTTGGGGAAAAAATTAGAACTGACTGCAATTATCCTTGTGTTCAATTAACTTCCACTCTTGTATTTGAAGACAGTCAATTTTACAATAACTCAAAGGGATTTTACTTTGGATTGAGCATTGTGAGTGGCATGTACATGATACCTGAAACAATGAACTATCACTTAATTATTAGATCATGTCTGATGTATGACAATATAAATGAAGGCTTATTCATTGATGGAAAATTCTTGAGATTCACAGTAATTGACATAATAGACACTGAACTTATTGGAAATGGAGGAAATAAGATATTGAACAGTTTATCTAATTCCATTAGTCTCAGAAATGTTACTGTTGCTAACAGTACCTCAACAGGATTGACACTTGAAAGATCATTAGTAACAATTAAGAATAATTTAATATTCAAGAACAATACTGGAGTAGTTGGAGGAGGATTAGCAATAAATGACTCATCACGATTGATGTTATTATCAACAGCTAACTTGGAGTTTATTGATAATCATGCTTCTTATAAAGGAGGAGGGATCTATGTTGAAAAGACAACCGTGGCAAAAAATCACATTGAAGAGTCAAAATATAATGATATAAAATTAATGGTACCAGACATACCTCTTACATTAATAAATAATACTGCTGGACTAGTAGGTGGTGATATGTATGGATGGTATACTGATAACTCTACGACTTGTCAGTTTAACTTGACAAACCCACACATTAGCTCAACAAGTGATGCAGTGTCAATGTGTTTTTGTGATCCTCTAAATGCTAAAAGATGCTATTCTTATGAAAGTAATCAGCACATTTTTCCTGGTCAAACATTAAAATTTTATGCAACTTTGTTGGGAATCAACTACTTTGGAACACACACTCCCACTGATGGTATAGTAGAAGTATATGGCATATCTAGTCCCAAAAGCACTTTGGCACTGGTCAGTCAAAAATATATTCCCAATACTTGCTCATTGATTGAATACACACCAAATCTTATTCAAACAACAATATATCACATTAGATTGTCAGTATACAATAGCCCTACCCATTATACCAAATCTTTTGATTACATTGTTAATGAGTGTCCAATTGGTTTCAGTGCAAGCAGTTCACAAGGTTCCTGTACTTGCAGTCAAAGTGTTTCAAGAGAGAATGTCACATGTGATATAAATAGTCTAAACATTACACACAATGGTCTACTGTGGATTGGAACATATCATACCAGTACACCTTTCAATGCTAATGCAACCAATCCTAATGCATGCATTATCAATGAGGACTGTCTCCTCTATTGTTCTCCTAATCCTGTTGCCTTCAAGTTAAATGACACTGATACTCAATGTGTGGATAACAGAGGACAGAGAATGTGTGGATCATGTACAGAGGGATACAGTCTACTAATGGGATCAAACAAGTGTGGACAGTGTCATAATAAATACATGATAATAGCTTGGATTGCTCTGTTTGCAGTGATGGGTGTACTACTTGTGGTTCTACTGATTGCTCTCAATTTAACAGTATCACTGGGTACACTCAATGGTCTATTGTTCTATGCTAACATTGTCAAGTTATATGAGCCAGTCTTTTCAAGGAAAGGAGCATTACCAGTCTTGAGTCAAGTGATATCATGGATTAACTTAGACTTTGGGTTTGAGATATGTTTTTACAATGGTATGGACAGTTATGCTAAACAATGGCTCCAGTTTGCTTTCCCTCTCTACCTGTGGATCATTATCATCATTATTATACAATTGTGTAGGAGATATGGTAAGATGTCAAGACTGATGGGGTCTCATGCTGTTCCTGTTCTATCTACACTCTTCCTTCTCTCATATACTAAACTAGTACGTACTATTGTTATTGTACTACACAAGCGTGAGGTAACTCTTCACTGTACAAATGAGTCAGTAAGATCAGTTAGTTTATGGTATGAGGATCCTAATATTGAATATGCTAAAGGGAAGCATGCTGGACTATTTGGATTTGCCCTATTGGTGTCTGTTTTCTTTGTCATACCATACACACTGTTCCTTTTACTTAATCCTTTTTATGAGAAGTATCTTTCAAATTTCACAATTTTAAAGAAACTTTTGAGTCGTTTCAAGCCTATTATTGATGCTTATAGTGGTCCAATGAAAGATGAGTATCGGTTCTGGCCTGGTCTACTGCTAGTGGCTAGGATACCAGTACTATTATCAGTTACTTTAGTTGACAGTTTCATTCAGTCACAGCACTTCCTATTGTCAATGCTATTGACAGTGGTAGCCATTGTGTCGTCATTGAGTCATTGTTTTGGTGGTGTTTACAAGAAAAGAATGAACAATGTACTTGAAGTTTGGTTCTTGTTTAACTTATGTATCATGGTTGGTCTATCTGTAGCTCTTAATGAAGATAGTAAAGTATTGATCTGGTACAATACTTGTTTATCTGTTTTTATTTTTAGTTTTATTTTGATTGTTGTTTATCATCTTTACCTGCAGTTATCAAATATGAAATGTTACGATGCTCTAATTAAGAAGTTATTCAAAAAACAAGATGAAGATGATGAACCTCTTTTAGATCTAATTGAATCATATAAAACTGTTGATCAACAAAAAATGGAAATTGTACCAAGTTCTACTGATGTTAGACGAAGTGCGAGCCGTGAATCAGTTGTTGATTTGTTTTAATTTATGTATTTCTATCATTATCTAGAAAGTTTAGTTCTAAGCACAGCCTTATGCTTGCTTATACATGTACATGTAACTTTATTCTTTTATCTCTTTCTCATTCAGTTTTGATCAGATTTCGTTTGTATGAATAATGTATATCTAGTACATGAAAGAGTATGTAGTTAATTTGCGGTGGTTTTGGAGCCATCTTTTTGGAAAAACTATAGGCTATAGCTTTTGCTTTTTTTCTGAAAATTGACTGATTTTAAAAATTGATCATAACTTTAAAAATATTTGTTGGAACAGCTCAAACTTTCTACACAGCATAAGGACATCAATATGTATCAGAAAATGTAATAAAAGAGAGGGTGATTTTGGAAGACATCAATATGCATAAAAAAGTATAACAAAAATCAGGGGTGATTTTGACTAAGTAAAAATGCATCACTGACAGAGATCAAAATTCATTATTTACCACTCTTGTCCAAGGAGAGCTTAACCAAAATTTTTACTTTTCTGTAATAACTTATTAATTATTCATTCATATTAATGTTCGTTCATTTTTATAAAAAAATAATGAATCGATTATCTAGTCATTAAATTTAGGTCTATGGGATCGAAGCCCATTCATGACTCATATAAAATGAGGTTGACTGGTTGTGTATAATCTAGAAGTGTGGCTTTACTGGCTTATTTATTATAGGTGCGGTCATTTTCAAAATGGCGGACAAGCTTGCAGTTGCTTGTCCTTTGACAAGCAACAGTAATATTTTATTTGTCCCAGGCTCAAAGTAAGTTGTCCAGACAAGTGGACAAGCCTTAATTAGCTATACGTACATGTACAACTGAAAATTGATCAATTACTGTACCGTACATTGCTAGTTTCATTTTCTTCTGCAGTATCTTTTCCTTTTAGTTTCATTAACTGACTGTAGGCAGACGATCCTACATTAACAATTGACTCAATCTAAAAATAGAAGTAATAATTTAATATAAAATAGAAAAATTGCTAAAAATAGATCAGCCATAGTACATAATAGCTGCTACGCCCACCTGTACGATATGAGAGCCAGTTAGTATTCCTGATGGTTCTTGAAGGATGGCAGGTGGCAGTGAGGGGAGAGAGGTCTCTTTCATATCAGTATTGATCCAGGTGGTGTATACTGCCTCATTAATATTGTGAAAAGAGTGAGGATGGGACTAACACAATTAAAAATGATAAAAAAATACTACAGTATAAATTTCTACTTGTCTGATGCTTGCTACACAAGCCTTTAGCCAGTTTCTACTGAGGGAAACTCCTCTTCTCTTCATATAATCAAGGCTCGAATCAAGGACTGATGCTTCCACTCCTGCCATTATTTGATCTACACGTGATTATAGTATACGGCCTACCGGTCACATCCGTACTTTTTCAGTAATCATTAACAACAGTACAATAATCATTATTAAAAACACATAAATAAATAATTAGTATTTTACATGTTACTATTAATATCGTCATTCATATTATCAGATTTTTCAGAATCTTCCTGTTCTTCAAAGTATTCTAAATATATTCCAGTAGCTATTCCAGACACTTCACGATTACCACCATCCATTAGCTGCTTAATGTCATCTAATGAGAGAAAGAGGGGGGAGAGAAAGAGGGGGAGAGAGAGAAAGAGAGAGGGGGAGGGAGGGAAAGAGAGGGAGAGATGTAATTAGCTGAAAGAAGTAACCTAACTTAATAACTTTGGTATCGTATGTACATGTACATGCATACAGTATGTGTTCACTTCAGTCCTCATTTTCTTGCTATCTTAGAGTGACTACAAATTTCGAATGCTAAATTTTACAATGTTAGCACGAGGTAGATTTTGCTGGTATTATAAATTGTGATTAAGTGATAATTATATGGCATTATTAATAAGTTTTGATATTAATAACTATGATTTCTAACCCAGATTAAAAATTAACAATTAATAGTGCCTGTATAATTAGAAGTAGCTGTAAGGCATAACTTTTGACTATTGTAAAATACACATACATGTACTAAATACTACTAATGCATTCCTCTCTTTCTGCTAAATCTATTGTGATACTTAAGAAGCAGCTGTAGATTTCAACTTATACATGTACCCTAAAGCCACTATTACTTGTGAGTAATAATTTTTTGTGTTTTTCTTTGTGAATGGCTTTAAAATGGCAAAAAATAGTACTCACATTTATCAATAATTTAGGTTTATTAACAGTTATTAATTGAATAATAGTTACTTATATATGTAGTTGATTGTACAGCTTAATATAAGTAAGTAGTAAGTACACATAAACTTTTCCCAATATCTATCCATTATGCTCATTTGTTGGACTTAGGCGAATGCGAAAGGACTTAAGTGTACACGTAAGTATTGGGAATTTGATAGCACAAAAATTAATACCTCATTATGAGTAAATACATGTACCTTTCTACTATCAATAACAACAGCTTTTAATAGCTACACATGTAAACGTACATAAATGTACATGTACATGTACGTGTAAGTAGACAATAAAATAAGTTACTAATGCTTGTTTAATACACATGCACAACATGTATACATGTAATTTTGAAGTTGTACATGTCTGTAATATTTATGGTAATCCATTCAAATTCAGGAGCTTTAAGTAGCTGTTTATACTCATTTCATGCTATCAAACATCTATAGAGTTAACTTTCACTGCAGCACAACAGCCAGTCAGTTAATGTATACAATGACCTGTGCTGTTCCCACGGCCTCATGTACACACATAACATAACACAATCAATTCAATACCTTCTATTTCAACTACCAATGGAAGATAAGGATTACTCTCTAATTCCTCCTCATCCTTCTTCCTGTCTCCAATACGTAACATTGCTTGAATTCCTTCCAAGGCTACGGCTTTCATCTTCCCATCTTCAACACTAAGATAATTCCCCAAGGCATGTAATCCGCCATGACTTACAACATAACTACAAAAATACATGTACATTAAATTCTAGATTAAATTACACAATTTTCCTCTTCTCTCTATTTCTCTCTCTCTCTCTCTCCATCTCTCCCTCCTTCCCTCCCTCCTTCCCTCCCTCTCCCTCCCCTCCCTCTCTCCCTCTCAGTTTTTCTTCCATTTCTCTCTTAGTAAAGCTGGTAATTTTGTAGGGGAAATTTTGCATTCTGATACCGGTAGTCACTTTTGTCCCCCAAAAAATCCACCATTTGACCCATTATGTACATATACATGCTTAACGGCAAATACATGCATCGAACAAATTAAAACCAACCAACTACTAAAATATATATGCATTTCATCACAATTTTGCCTTTTACATACATGTAAGTTTACATAAATTTTACACTTTACAATTTAATTGTTATACATGTACATGTGTATGTAGTGTACCTTCCTTGCTCTACAGTGCAATCATTCACGAGATTGCTAATGACCCAGGCTGCTTCCTTCTTCAATTGAACCCCAGCATCTCCATTCAATATATTAAGAACTTTAGGAATAATCCCTTCATCAATGACAGCCTAATAATAATAATGACAAGTGCAATAATGGTAATGGAAATAGGAATGGAAGAAATTAATTGTCATAGAAAATAACATTCCAAATCTTTCCACAAAAAATTAATTGTCATAAATTGATAAATACTGTATAGCTCCAAATTTTCGTCAGTCAAAAATTTCGTCAAAATCTTAAACTATCATTATTACCATTATACATGTACATTTGTAGCTTCAAAATGTTGTGGTTATAAATGATAACAATAATAATAATAATTACTTGTTTTTGTTCTTGGGTACCAGCTGTTATGTTAGAGAGTGTCCAAGTGACCTCCTTCCTTACATTATTTGCTTCGTGTGATATAAGGTTTGAGAGAAGAGGTAGCCCTCCATTATCAATGATGCATTGAGTGTGTGAGTCAGTGCTGGTTGATATGTTACCAATGACTCGAACACATGGGACAATAATATCTTTATCAACTCTTTCTCTATAAAATAATAATAATAATAATAATAATAATAATACCGTACAGCGGGAAATTTTGGAGGAACTAAAATTTGGCAAATTGCTACATTTTGATGATTGGCGAATTTTAATTTGGCAACTTTGTGGCCATGTGCCATTGAGCACGTATAATGGCTTAAAATGGCAGATTTTATTTTGGCTAATGGCTATCAAAACGCCAAATTCGCCAAATTTAATTCCCTCCAAAATTTTCTGCTATACGGTAATAATAATAATAATAATAATAATAATAACAACAACAATGATAATAATACCAATAATATTGAAATGACAAAAATTTTACTGACAAATACTAAAAAAAATTTTGGTTAAATTTTTGCTTAAAAATTTTGCACTATATGGTACCAAAGGTTGTTGGCAGCTCTAACAAAATAAAGAATTTAGTACTACTTTTTGAAAAAGTGTTGATACCGGCATGTACATGTACGTAGAAATAATAATATAGTTATGTACATGTACATGTATAGCCGAGCCGTCTATTTCAAAACTTAATATTAAAAAGTTACAGTTTGTAAATTGCCTAAAAATTGCAGAAATATTTCAATCACAAAATGAAAAATTACTCCCTTTATGCATAGTAAAATTGACCACATGTACATGTACATGTACATGTACTTTATGTACATGTGCATGTACTTTTACCTCAATAATCTCATGATGTCTGATAGTATAGAGGTATTGAGTATCACTGTCAATCTCTCATCACTGCAGTTATCAGTAATATATGACACACCCCAACACAACTCCTTGATGCATGTTGAATCTTGCTCCTTAATTAATGATTCAGAGAATACAGGTAGTATATCCTCAAACTATAAAATTAAAAATAAAATTCAAAAATAAACTATAAATATGCGGATCCATCCAAAAGATTTGTTTTATGGCTTCTTTGCCACTTTCTACTTTTTGGCCATGTTAAATATGTAATCAACTTTTGTAGATTTTATTGCTATTAATGCTTTTTTATTTACTTCATAAAATTCTATTTCATTTTATTTTATTTTATGAAAATGAAAAATAAGCAAAAATTTTGGGCCATTAAAGTTTCTCACAATATTGGATTGAGTACAATATCGTAGGGCACCTTTTTTTGAGGGCTATAAATTTCGTGGATTTTAATTTTGCAGATTTAATTTTCACGAATTTATGTCGATCTTGTACCATACCAATTTGATTTTTGCCAATCTTAAAAAACCGTGAAATCCACGAAATTTATAGCCTTCGCAAAAAGGCACCCTACGGTAATTATATTAAGTAAATGGAATGTGGGTGGGTTCCTCACAATTTCTGTTGATATTTGAAGGTCTTTGTGCCTGCAGAGATTGGAAAATACCCAGGAGGCTTGTCTCCTAACTGATAAACAATGTTCAGTATCACCAACAATACTAGAAACAAGAAATAATGATAATTATTTTATTATAAATAGTAATAAAAATAAATAATAATAAAATATTAAGAACAAGGCCATTTCAGTTAGAATCATTAATTCTGTTACTCCACGATGGCAGAAATACTGTACATTTTATCAGGTCAATGACCAAAGCCCAAATTTTGTCAAAATTTGTTCCAATGCATATACAATGTACATGTCCTTATGCAATGTGTTAAGTTTAAGTTGATTCGGACCAAATTTGGATTTTGTTATGAATTTTAAAAATTTTGTCAAAAATTGGAGATACGCCTTTAGTCGTTGGTCAAATTTTTTCAAAAATGCTAAGAGAGAATTCTCTAATTTTATATTTTTTCTAATACATGTACATGTACATGTTTCTGTGCTGTGTATCAACTTTGAGCTGATTCCGATCAAATTTGGATTTTTGATGAATTTTTTGAAGTTGCTTCAAATGCTATCTACTGTGTACTGTATTGCAGTGCTTCTGCATAATACTCCTTACAAGTAGCTCAGTTAGCATGCTTTGTGGGAAATTGCTGCAAAATTAAAGTGCTATAAAGTACTATTATATCTCGTAATTTTAGAGGAGCAACATTTTGTGAATCACTAAATTTTTGATGATTGGAGGATTTTAATTTGGTAAGTTTGTAGAAAAACTGCCAAATTTCTCCTCTCCAAAGTTACTAGATGTACGGTGCTTCAAAACACTTTAATTCTGAAACAGATTATTTTGGAAATTTTTCCTATAAAAATTCGATGGTTTAAAAATTTTTGTGAAGATGTATGTGCATACCAAACATGTCATTAATGATTAGCAGTTTCAACTGCAAATTGCCTAAATTAGCTAAACTCTAATACTACTGGAAATTTTGGAGAGAGTTAAATGTGGCAAATTGCTAAATTTTGGTGATTGGCAAATTTTAATTGAGCAAATTAGTGGCCACGTGCTATTGAGCATGCCTATAATATGGCAGATTTTATTTTGGCGAATTGCTACCAGAATGTCAATCAATTCGCCAAATTTAATTCCTTCCAAAATTTCCAACTATACGGTAAGTATTAAAGTGTTGAATCTAACTGTACTGGCCTGTTATTAATTAAAAAATTAAGTTTATAATTACGGAGTGAGAGAATATACTATCCCATAATCTAAAGCAATGTCTCGAAACTGTGGACCATCACCAACAATATTACCAAGCGCCCAAATAACCTAATAATATACAAAAATATACTGAGATACCTTCACAAAGTCATTAAATACATCCCAATAATATCCTAAAAGTATACTGACCTGCTCTCGCACATTATCCGAAGGTGATTCTATTAATTGTATAAATCTTGGGACAGCTCCACCATCCACTACACTCTTAGTCTCTTCAGGAGTGCCACTAGCAATATTAGTTAATAACCAACCAGCTTCAAACTTAATAAAATAAAATAAAAAATAAAATAAAATAAATGAATAAAATAAAAATTGTGTGAAAAAGAATGTGACAAAATACTGTATCCTAGTTTTTAAAGAAGAAAAATTTAACTCATAAAATTTACTCTAAACTGACAAAAACATGTGTGGCCTAATTTTGTGAATTTTTAAAGAGAATAAAAATTTATTCTTGTACCGTATGGAGCAAAATTTTAGATTTCGCAATTCTTTGAAGATTCGCAAAAATTAAATCTGCAAAATTTTTAAGGCAAATTTGTGAAATTTACACCCCTTGAAATTTTGCGCTATATGGTATTAAGCCATGGTGGGCTAAGATTCACTGCCAAAAATAAGAAATTTTTACTGGCCATTCGCAAAAAACACTGTGCATGCTTACCTGTAGATCGGTGGATTCCTCAGGCTTCATACAATCAACAAGATCAGATACAACACTAGAAGAGATGATGCTGTCCTTGTGACGATCAATAGTCTGACGAAGAAGTCTGATAGCAGTGATTCTCTCTTTCTCCTCTCCCTCTCTGATTTTGTACAGGAGGGCGTCAAAAGGAGAGTCCTAAAGCTAAAATTAAAAAGGTTCAACGCCAATATTTTACTTTAGAGAGCTCTTCCAAGTCATCTGAGGACTGGAGGTAATTTCCTTGATTCCCATTCGGATCCTCTTCAGCGGAGGCCATTTTGTTATTAGGCGTATCCCATGGGCCCAGTTAATTGTTAAGAGGCGTGGTCAATAATTAACCACGCCCTTTTAAACAAAATGGCGTCCACGAGCAGTAGCGATGGAAGTATGGGTAGAATCAAATCTTATAAGAATAAAGGACTGGACGCGGAGGAATTGAGGAGAAGAAGGGAAACTGAAGAAATTCAACTTAGAAAATCTAAAAGAGATGAAGAAGTTAGCGTATAATAAGTGTAGCCACGCCTATTAACCACACCCACAATTTATCCCATAGTTTTCAAAAAGACGTAACATTTCTACAATGTCCGAGAGTCCTTTTGGCGTCTCTGGAGAACAACGATTTTTTGAAGTAATTAGTACACATTTATGACCACTTTATGTACATGTACATGTATTATAATTAATTATACGTAGGATACTCCATTGGAGATCATAGCAAGATCAGTTTATTCAGATAATATTGATGAGCAATATCAAGCGATCAGTCATATTAGAAAATTAATATCAGTTGGTGAGTGATTTCACCTGCTTCTCATAACCTCACACACTGTACATGTACATATATGTCAACATTACTATCATGTTATGAATAACATCATCTTGATGTTGTTTTAGTCATAATGTAATCATAATCAATGTTGTATAGCTGATGATTTCTTTGGCAGAATTTTGTCAAATTTAGCATTTTGGTGAACCAATACATGTACTGTACATATAGATGTATGGATGTTCAATGGCATATGTATTGTAAAATCTTGACATTGATTCTGATATTTTTTTCTTCATTTTGATGAACTTGTCATACCTTCATTAGCCAATGGATTACTACTGACTTTTCAAAGTGATGATTAGTAATTTCCAACAAATTTTACCCTCCAAATTACAGACAATACAGTACTCCTACTGCATGTACAGTACATGTACATGTACATGTACGGAGTACATTGTATGTTGTTCTGTGATTAATACTATGTTTACACTAGCTTCTTTAATTGAGCCAGCCTTGTTTAAAGTGAGCCAGCACAGTTTCACTTGATAGTGTAAACAGTGGCTAAAGGGAGCTGAACCAAAGCAGGTCCAGCTTATACTATGTTTACACTAGCTTCTTTAATTGTAACCAAACTGAGCTGGACTGAGCTGGTCCAAAGCAGGCCAGCATGGTTAGTACAGCAGGGCCAGCTCAGCCTCGTTCAGCATGGTTGGGTCCACTTCTGTAGTGTACATGTTAATGTACATGTACATGTACATGTACGTGTACGTGTAGTATATGACATCATGGCCAGCTCAGCCTGGTTCAGCATGGTTGGGTCCACTTCTGTAATGTAAATGTACATGTACATGTACGTGTAGTATATGACATCATGTAACATGACTTTGACTTATGTATGATCCCACTTTGAGTAGCAACAACCCATTGAAGTTTGCAATGTATGGTGGCATGAGAAAATTCTTTAAATTTTGCTTTTTGTGTTAATGGGATTGCTAATCGGTGCTACATGTACTCACTGAATCCACACCACATTGAGTGGGTTGAACTTTGACTAGATAATTATGTTTAATCATTGTGTTATTTTTATTATTTTTAATCATTAATAATTGTTATTATTATTTGTAGAGGAGGATCCACCTATATCTGATGTTATTAGAATTGGAGTTGTACCTAAACTCATTCAAAATCTTGACCACTCTCTTCCACCTGCAATACAAGTACGAATACTTTATATTCTACATACATGTACAGATGTGTACACAAATACTGTATACCTGTTATCTGTCTATTTTGAACTCAGACACTCATACATGTAACATGTATTATGTATACTGTATATGTATTTTTGTAAATAGTTTAGTACAGATGTGTACATGTACATGTATATGTACTGTACATGTACATTATGGAAAGTATAGCTAGAAAGTTTTTAGTGTTAAAGTTTTGTGAATTGACTCCGAAAGACAGTTAAAATTTTTAGCAAAATTTTTGACCATTTCCATGTCCAATTTTTCTCGACTTAATTTTCGAGCTACAGTATACTGTTAGTTTATACATAAAGTAGAGGAGAATTGATCTTCAAACAAAATCGAAAAGCCTGGGCTTTTGTTTAAGAATATATAGTATCGTCATTTTATTTTACCACTCTCATGTGATCTTATGTAGTTTGAGAGTGCATGGGTATTGTATTGTACATACATGTACATGTACAGTGTACATTATATAAGTATGTATACATGTAGCTAGAAAATTTATGTTGTTAAAATTAGGTGAATTGATTCCAAAAGACAATTAAAATTTTGGCAAAAATTTTGACGATTTGCATATTCAATTTTTTTCCACCAAAATTTCTAGCTACAGCATACGGTACATGTACTGTAGGCTGTAGCTTCTATATCTAAAGTATAAGAGAATTAACTGTTAGCAGAGAAAAATTTAACTGTTAGCTTATACATGTACATGTACATAAAGTATAGGAGAATTAATCCTCAAACAAAATGTAAAAGCCAAGGCTTTTATTTTGTTTGAGAATATACATTAACATTATTTTATTTTACTGCTGTCATGTGATCTTATGTAGTTTGAGAGTGCATGGGTATTGACTAACATTGGGAGTGGCTCACACTATCAGACGGTGACATTAATTGATATGGGGGCAGTCCCTAAACTAGTCTCACTAATTACTTCACCAAATTATCTTGTCAGGGAACAAGTAAGTAAACACTAATAGTATTAGTATCATTCTTAATTGTGATAAACTAATAATAGTATTAGCTGTGAAACCTTTTAGAATAGATACTACCATAATAGTTGACACATCTTTCTTATGTACCTTATGTTCATTTGTTGTACTCCAAAAGAAATTGTAGTCTCCATTGTGTTAACACTGATATAGTGTACATATTACAATGTTATGCTATGGAGTAAGTATATTCCAACTAACACAGTACAGGAGATTACATTATCTTTGTAACAAGAGTAAAATAGGAAATCTGCCTTAGCTTCCTTATAAGGGAGTAACAGCTACTGATATCCTCAATAATAAATGACCCACTTAACACAAGGACTATGTACATGTAGTGATAGACTTTGTGGAAGTTTAGACTAATAGACTGTGATAAAGACATCTTATGTGTACTTTTGTCATATCATTGTGACACCATACAAAACACATATTGTTTATTATCCTTAGTATGTTTAGTATGTCCTTGGTTGACCACCTGAGCCATGTACATGTACATTGAACATATTGGCTATACTGTACTTGTACATAATTGATATTTTATGGCT